TTCTAACTTGAGTTTATTTTTCATTAATTCAATCTTTTGTTAAGTTGATAGAGGGCGAAAAGCAAAGAAAAAAAAAGAAAAGGACTTTAAATGATTTCTAAGAGTTTTGCCTTTTATATGCAAGAAATTTTGCTTTTTATTTTTTTTTTTTTTTTTTATTCGATTTTTGCAGGTTTCTTATTTGTTGCCTAACCAATAATGCTGGCAGTTTAATTAAAAACTCTTAGTGACATAAATTTATGTATCCTTATACCTTGTGTCTATAGTTGATTTCTTTTTCTTTCTTTACTTTTTTTTTGTATTCACTCTCACTATTTTGCTTTTTTCTTTTTTATCATCTAAAATAAATGGATTTCCTTGTAATTGTTTCAATTTTATTTTCTGGTTACTAACGTGTTAAGTAGGAAAAGTAATAATTTTTTTCTTTAAAGTCATACCTTTGTATTTTAATTTAATTTTAATGCTTTGTAGACATTTTTTAATTGCATAGAATTTTTTTTTTTCTCTTGTCGAAGAATAGAATAAAAATTCGACTTTTAAGAGTAATGTCGCCTTGTGATTTTTTCGTGTTTTTTTTTTTTTTATTGACTACCAAAAAACAAGTAAACACACTATAATGGATTAGGGTCCACTATTCAATACCCTATATATACTTGGGAGAATAAGAAGTTATGTGGGATGTTATCGACAAAGTAGTTCGATCCGAAGCATTTTCAAGATTGTCCAGCCTTGGACCAAAACAAGTTAATGTACCAAATTTAATCGAAATATCTTAAAACTTAAGTCTTATAGGTTGAGCAAAAGAAAGCAAACCCGGCGGGGCAGATTGACAGAAAAACTAAAATCGATTCAGAAATTGATTCCGAATAATAAAAAGTGAGTTTAACCCAATTTCTTCTAAGTGTTGCATACATGCGCACAAACCTAATGCACTCTTGTACCATAAACGGTATACGATGTAACAATTACATGAAGTTCTAATGTATCAAGAAGTCAATTTTCGAAGCATGGTGACTAACATTCAAGTGTTCCTTGAAGAACGTTTGTTGGGTTTAAATACTATCGCCCATTTCACGATTCCGAAAGTAAACGTAAATATAATATACTCCTGATTGAGATTTGGATCTAATTTTTTCAATACATTGATTCAATTTTCCTATTATTTGTGTAAATGATTTTGTGCGGCGTACAGACGAAAACACGAGCCCACGTTTACATGTCGTGCATCTGGGGTGAAGCTGATATTTGGTTAAATGGCTTCGTAAAGAAAAATTATTGGCGCTTATGTGGAAAGAAAACACATCCGATTTTGCCGAAGGACTTTTACTTATGCCAAAATAACTTTCGGATGTAGTTTGTAGGCTGAAAGTGTCATATTTGAACATGAAGTTGGCGTCGCAGTTATCGTCAATGAAGAGCGCTAAAGAAAGACGATCACTAATTTTCTGTGGAAAAAATTAGATGATTTCGATTTGGACGATATGTGGCTTCAACAAAATTTCAGACATTTCGTAATAAAATTACTTTATTGAGGAACTTTACTCAACGATCATGTCCTCTCCCAAAATACTCATGAGAAGAACTCATCCCGTATTCTACTAATCTGCTTAGGATCGCTTTCTGAAGTTTCGCTTTCTAAGTTTGTCTGTCTGTCTGTCCATCTTGTTTTCTGGTGTGCAATCTATGGACCGATGTACAATCTATAGATATATTTTGATGAACACCAACACGCTTACGCTATTAAAAATGGTTCGAGTCGGACCACTTCTCCAGCCACTTACCAGAAAACACTTTATTTTGAAAAGTCATTACACGAAAAACTGCACTGAACGAAGTGGTGTAGGTTATTTAGTGGTGGGCCGAGCCAAACAGTACAGTACATAACATTATTCGAGGCCGTTTGCATTGGTATCTTTTCATGCTCCCTTGCCGTCAGCTTTTGATGGTTTCATATATACATAAACTATAAAAGAAAGGATAAGCAATCGTTGGCCAAAGGTCATCTATGGCAAATTCTTAAGACGATGGAAAAACCCTTATGAATAAGTCTCTTGCAAAGCAGTGAAATTGCTTAAGAAAATTTTAATCACACTCAGTAATTCTTAATCGTCCTACATTTAAGGAGAAAATCCCCCGCTCGCAAGAACAGATTCAATTTATATATCTTTCCTTTCTCGCCCTAGTAATAAAAAAAAACTCCATTTTCTTAAATCCAACTCACATTTTTTCATATTTAAAATTCTTAGCTTCTCGTCATTCACCAATCACAACATTTCACACTAGCATAGCTTTTCAAACAAAAGGGTTGAAATTTACATATTGAGCGTAAAAAATTTACATAATATGAAGGAATTCTATTTTGAATACGAGTAAAAAATAGATTTGTTGTATAACAAAAAAAATCTCAGCTTGGTCTTGTAAAAAAACAAAAACAACCCTTTTTAAAGTAAACACACAAGCAACTCATCATTGCTTATCATTGCTACGTACAAAGTCACCCTTCATTTAATATTTTTATTTTAAAAAACATTAAACCAAGCATAAAAAACTTTTGATTCCCCTTATTAAGCGCATAATAGAAAAGGGATGAATTTACATATTCTAATATTTTCTAAGCTTCATTTTAATATTGTTTCGCTTGAAAAAAAGGGGTTGTTTTTTATGCTTCGACAAAACGCTTCGTAAAAAGCAAAAGACGAAAAAACGCACTCCGGCTGTGATTGGAGCTTCAATGGGAGTATCATTTATTTATGTTTGCTCTCGTTTGGAACTCGTAACTCCATTGTTAAAAAGTGAAAATATAATATAATTGTCGAGAATATTTTTTTTTTTTTTTTTTTTTTTATGTAAAGCGTTTGCGTATGAAAACTCCCTGTAGCTGTAGTTTACTTTACCTATTGTTTTGTTTTTTTTTTTTCTTTCTTTTTTTTATCAAGAAAAAACTGCCTACAAATAATAATATTCCGTATGGTTGAACAGCCACGCATATCGAAGTGCGTATTGTTTTCTAATATTACGTTTGCCTAAAGGCAAAATTGTAAATCATAGCATATGATTTTTTAAAATTTTTACACTCACAATCTGACAGCATGTTCAGTTTGCCTCTTCGTTTGCAAATTTCGCAAAAAGCAAATTTTTATAGATACTTGTCATCATAAGCCTTTTTCATATTCCTTTGCTAAAATGAATTCATGGAGAAAATGGAGTACAAGTTAGCAGTGCATTTTAGAAAGCTTTAAAATGCAAATTTCACAGTATTTTAATTCATACACGCACACATACACATGAATGTATATATATACCCATATACATATATATGTACATATATCATGTATGTTAAAAATCCTAGTAAATACATTAAATATATGTGTACGTCACATTACATTAAGTATATATATATATATATATATATGTACATATGCGTGTGTGCGTGTATGTGCCTGTCTATGTATTTATAATGTTAGTATATATCTATATATTGTATACATATATATATACTGACATAATGGTATGCATGGGTATACATCTATGTGGTCTGCCAAAGTTGGGTACCAATAGATGCGACTATGATTCTTTTTACATTCTGGACGCCTGGTTAATATTTTCAAATTTCTATCCTCTACCTTTTGCCTTTCAAGCACACTCAAACCGTTTCAACGTCACCTCGTTTCTTCAAGTAGCTGTGAACTACGATTATAGAGTAGTTGTGCGTACGTTACGACGAATGTAAGGAAAACCGATGTCATACAGATTTCATTATGCGTATGTTTGTACGTATGTCTGTCTGTCTATTTTAGTAAAGTGAAACTAAATGTTGTGAAAGTAATTGATACTTGAAAACTTAGTCAAATAAATAAAAGTTGAAATACATTATAACACCTTAGAACAATTGAAAGCAGTCGGAATATGAAATACAAGACAGCGGTTTAAAAAGGAGGAAAATTTCTATAAATTTACAAAATAAAGTGTTTTGAAAAATGTTACATGTTCGACTAGAAATGAAAGTTGATCTAAAAATAAATAAGCACACGATCGACCGTTTGGCACCCCACTACACTTCCATTAGCATAATTCTTTGTTTATTTTCATGAAAATGCTAAGCAATTTTCATTTAGAGATATACCTTTCAGGGGATATCTCCTATCAAAAAGGGTCCAAAAAGGGTGAAAGTGACATGGTCTAATCTTAGCCAAAATTATTCTCCTTTTCAAAGGCTTCATAATCTCTTGGATGTTTTCGTCATAAAAAAGATGTTCTTATCCTTTTGGGGAGTGGGATGTCGAAAATAGATCTATATGATCCAAATTTGGTAGACATTGATTTTTATGGACAAATTTTCAATGTGAAATATTAAAAGTTAGCCGGTTTTCTCCTTATTCTCTTAGGAGAAATTTCGAAACATCAGTCCGTCCGACGCCAATTATTTCACATTAATTTTGTATTTTAAAAGACTGTTAATCAGTGATTTTTGTCGAGAAATTTTGAAAATTGAAATTTTTTAACAGAATTCTTCCCTGTATGAAAGTAAAAAATCTCGTCTAAATACCCCAATAGCTGTGGGCTGTCGGTTAAATAGAAAAATGCATGGATAGATATCAGAGGGACAGACGGACAAACATGCGTTCCTCGATTTAAAAAATGTTTCTGAATCCAACGGTATAGAAAAAGATGGGTCTGTCGTGAGCCCTTCTAGATGTTACATATGCCCTCACAAAAAACGGATCAAAAAGCAACGACAATGGGAAGATCAAGAGTAGAGTAACAAGTTAAAGGAATTTTTTGAAAAAAATATCTATCCTGATGCACACACATTCGTGAATACTAATTTAGATCAGATAATTTAAGACTAATAAATATATTAAAAATGAATTATAATGAAAATCAATACATTTTTAATTTATTCAATTCTCCCAAATAGAGCGTATAATTATTAAAAATATTCAAGAGAGTATTTTTAATGAAAAAGTTCAATTGTTTTCAATTCTTGTTTTTTTTTGCAGATCATATAGCTTATGATGTTTACGACGATGATGCTGTATTGAAATTAAAGAAACAATTGTCCAAACTGCAAGGTTTAGCTACAATGAATACAATGGAATTTTTACCAGAATTATTCAAAAATCCAAAGGAAGAGAGTCTACGACATACATCTATAACAAACTCTGCAATTGCAACAATGCAAACTGAAAGCCCGTTAATAACAGAGACGATGAAACGAACAGAATTACAAGCACAGCAGCAGCAGCAGCAGCGGTTAGAGCACCAAAAAGCGAAAGCAATAATAATAGAAAAGAAAGAAAATGAAAGAAAAAAAGCAATGAATGAAGCAGAAGAAAGCGCTAAGGTTGACATAGATATGCGCGAAGTCAGCACTACAATGGAAATATTGCCAAATTTCAAATGTAAGTCAGTTCGTTTAAATTCAGAGGCCAACGTAGCAAACGTACAAAGGAGTGAAGAAGACAATAAAAATTTGGAACATGAAATTCTCACAAAGCCTGATTTAAAATGTGTTTTCGATACGACGGTAACTGCAGCAACGGCAGCTACAACAACCTTAAGTGAGAACATTTTCAGTTGTAATGCCAGATTTTATGCCACAACCACCATCAACTCCACCACAACTAACACCATCACTACTACTAGTACCACCACCACCACCACCACCACCAACATCACCTGTTCGCCATGTACTGTAACAAATACAGTTGAAAGTTTTCCTTTTTCAAATGATTTTGGTAATAATGTGACTTGTGATACGACCACTGTTACTGCTACCGATGCCATTGGAAATTTTAAACTACGTGATGAATTTAATGAATCATCTGCGGCTGCCGATGATACTGCCCGTAATAGCTGCAATGGTCAAACGTTAGTTACGCCATCCAAAGTAAACCGAAGCAAAAACAACGGCGAACGGCGCAATAATGAAAGATCTATTGATGATGTGGGTGTTGTTGGAAAATTTGCCGATTTTAGCACAAAATCTCCAAACACAAATTTCGAAATGCTTAATGAAATGCCAAAAAACATAGAGGAGGATAATAGTGGCCAGCAACGATTTCATATGACTAATGAAATAAACGTCAATCGTAACGCGAAGGGTGAGTTTTTCAAAAAGAGATAAAAACAAAAGCAACAACATCAACAACAACAAAACAAAATTAAGTAAATTTTAATTTTGTTTTTCTAAGAGAGAATTAAATAAAATCTGGACAGTTGTTTATTCTCCAAAGATAAAAATCTTTATGTCGTACAACAAAGAGAAAGATCTCGGCATGTAGATGTGTTTTGGCTTAATTAGTTGGAAGAATAAATCAACCTTAGATTTTAGAGAGTAAAGTGGGGCGGGGGTGAAGAAGTCTCACCCTGCTCTCTGTTTGCTTTTTACGAACAGACTTTTATTCATTCATTAGATTACAATATTTAGAGTTGTTTTATTGCGCTTGCAAACAAGAAAATAGCAACTCTTTATCTATATTGTGTTAAGGCCTTGAGGAGCACAATTGTTTGTAATCTCCTTACTATTAAGCAATTGGGAGTATAAAGAACTATAAGCGCATCACTAAGTACAATAAAGCTTTTCCAAATTTTTTGGCAATGCAATATCTGTCTCTCTATCTATGCAGGTCGAACATTGAGAGGTCGGATGTTAAGTGTAAAATGTTAATCCCTGCACTTGTTGCGTAACAATGCCACATTAGGTTTGTGCGAATGCATGCAACATCCGGCAGGAGTTACGATAGACCAATCTTTTATTCCGCCGACCGATTCAGTATCACTTTCCGAAACCATGTTAGCTCGTCTGTCCGCCTGACCACCAGACGTTCGTGCATTCAACAAACTATTTTTAAGATATTTTGCCGAAATTTGGAACACCGTGGATTTTAGTCCAAACACGAACCCTATTAAAAATGGAAATTGGATCGGACCACCTTTTCGACCACTTTCCACGTAAGGCCTGATTTTGAAGAGCTATTATATGAATCGCTGTAGGATACTGTTTGGTATCTAACCAGTTAACAGCGTCGACCTCTTTGAAAAATGAGCATTTGACTTGCGTTGCAAAAATTTAGCAATCACAAGCGTACTCTTCATATGCAGAGTATGTATAATATGAAGTTAGGTTGTAATAATATAAAGACATACACTCATCCTAAAATGCATACAATATGGCAAAAATACGTTCATAATGAAAAAGTTTGATAAGGAAATCCAAGAAGGATAGATGAACGTCTCATGACATATGTATTCCTAATAATAGAAAATGTTGTTAAACTTGCCATTACGTATATTTCGTCGTACCCAGTTAACTGGGCCATGGTCCACTACAGTGTTTTTACTTCTTAAAGCCTTGAGCATTTACACTTACACAAAAATATATCAAGTTTATGAGGACGTATGCAACACTCAGATTTACTTGAGGCCAAAGCACATTTTCTTATACCGAGTTTGTCCGCCCATCTGTCTGTCATTTTTTAGCAAAACTTTCTAAATGATTTGAAATATTGAAGACGAACATGGTTTGGCCAAAGAACAATGGCTGTTGAAAATAGTTTTCATCGAAGCACTTTTTCGACCATCTCTCCCATACAACATCTTTTTGCATGTTTCAAATCAATTTAATACTATACTTATCAAAATCGGCAATGGCTAAAACAACTGGAAATCTAGTCGATTCAAGTTTAAACCATAGAATGCAAACATTAAAAGGTCAACAACCAACTGTCTTCTAAGTGCTTCAATGCATCGGCGTCGGCAGCGTAGATCGCAATCTTAAGATTCTTAAAATATCAGCTTTCATCAAATGATGTTCGCCCTAATCTACATCGCTGTTTGGCGTACTATTTCTATATCCTAGATAAAAAGACGCAATATTTTTCAGTGTATTTGAAAGAAAAAATTTTCGAAAAAAAAAAACCAAAAATTTGGCGCGCTTTTTTTCAATAAAATTTATTAAGCATTTGCGTAACTGATTGGTATCAAGCTTGCGTCATTGTATATAAGGAAAACACTACAAAATAGTAAATTCTACACTAGAAAATTTTCAAGTAAATTAACAACAACAAAAAAATCTTGATTACTAGATATTTTTGCCTATTTTTTTATGCATTTTTATATATATACATATATATATATATATATATAAATATTTTTTGTAAAATCTAAACAATGAAATGTTACGGTATTTAATGAAAATACAATCTTTTTTAACACCCCTCAGTTTTTTCAATTTTTTCAAATTTTTTCGCTTTTCATTCTACCCGACATAGTATGAATGTATGCTAGTTCTGTCGTCCGACATGTCAAATTCAAGTGTTGTGCATCAAATACTTTATAGAATATTTACGTCTGAATTGCCGAGCAGGCAAAGGGTCTTGAATAACTACTCAATAATCAATCTCAAGTGCGGTAAAGTTTTTAATAAACCCGGACAGGCTTTGGCTACTGACGCTTGAAGGCTTTAGGCTTGGACTTTATTTCTCACCTTTAATTTTTATAAACATAATGAAATCAATTTCAGAAGGAAGTCTTCCTCACGCGAGGTTCTTTTTGGAGACCTGATTCTTTCTTTTGTTATTAGTAAAAATACCTGCATTCATGAACACTATCGATTTCTGTCCGTCCATCTTTAATATACATCTTTCATCATTCGTAAATATATATATATACATTCGTGAACAGTATCAGATTTTAAATTAAATTTCTCTGTCCCTTCCAGCCACTTCGGACGGGAGTCAACTCAAACTATTTAAATGAAGTATCAAATATATTATAGGGTCTAAAAAAGAGTCGTTTTAAGCTAAACATATTTGCTTTCTCCTTTTTTTTTTTTTTTTTTTTTTTTTTTTGCCTATTTTGTCTTCTTTTTTTACAATGCAATGACATTACGTGCTGCATACAAAAATAAAAAAAATATGTCATAAATTTAAGGTACATTTTCGCTCGCTCAGGTATATAAGAGCGATGATGCATGACGGTAAATAAAAAAAAAAAATGCATCTTAAGGCATTTTTTAGATTAAATGATGGCTCTGAATTTCTTTAAAAAAGAGAAAAACGCAAACCGTATATAAATTTTTTGTAAAGGCCTAAGTTTACTTGGGAGGGTTGATTTTCCTGACTATATTTGAATTTTTATTTTTTTTTTTTTATAGTTTCATAGCGAAATAGTGGTTGTTTAAGTGATTTATATTTCATTCATTTTTTTTTTTTTTTGCATTTTTTTAATGTTAAAAAAACGTTAGAATACTACATAAATCTAACGAACTTTCTCACGTTTTTCTTAATGAATGATAAGAAATTATTTAAGAGAGATAAAGTTATGTATTGGAAAGACAAATATAAAAGCTATAGTGAAAGTTTCGTTGAAACCTAGAGCACTCATGTTGCAAGCGTCTTTATTTATTTATTTACTCAATTACATGTAAAAATTATCAGCCGATACAAAATAATTTAGAACTAGATTGTAAGTAAAAGACTGTGATAACTAAAGTAAATTAATTGATTGGGGTTTTCCACACAAAATTATGAGCCGAAAGAGACCGTGGCTAGGGCAAGGTGTAGAATAGCTCGGGGCATAACGTCAGCCCATCCGATAAAAAAGTACCGATTCGTCCGTCTGTCGATATAAAGGTTTCTGCGTGCGCGTATAAACATAAATTGTGTAAATTGTTGAATGTAAATGGAGCACAGCCTCCCTTACTCTCTGGAAGAACAACTTTAAGCAAACGATCAAAACTATTTAATTACATTTCTACTGATGATTCATCTTTTTTTTTTCTTCTGTATTCTTGAGTCTAATTTTATAAAGGATTCGAACATGGAAGAGTTGTTTTGAAATTTGGGATTTATGCACGTGCGACTATGCGATAGCTCATCTCGTTGTAACAATAAAAAAAAGCAAAATATAAAAAATATATATTTACCGCACCTGCACATCGTTTTAAAAGTGTGCTACTCTTTCTGTTTATATTGCGGGAAAATCTCACGCGCATATGCATACACAAAAGTAATACGAATGCAAATGTCCATGTGTGTTCAGCTTATGCGCCCATTCGTCTTACGCAAGCACACACAATGAATGTTAAGTGTTTAAATACATTGCGAATTTTATTTCTATTCTTTTGCAATCGTGCAAGTAAACTGTACCTCGCTAATACTCGTATGTTGACGATAACTTATTTTTTATGCTTGTTTTAGAACAAAGGTGTGCAATGAATAAGAAAGAATGCTACGCAATGTGAAAGAAAATAAATTTATAGTTAAATATATTGGGAAATAATTTAGAAAATGGAAAAAACAATTTTTGACGAAAAAAAAATTTAGTTTTCTTTCCACTTTTTTGCCATCACTTACTGATATGTCGCTAGTATGATATTTAATAAATAAAAATCTTGAAGCTGTGTTGTCCAGCTGGAATCGAAAAAGCGTTTTTCTGCTTAGATTTCAAATCAATGACCCTTTTAGAGCTTTTAGCGAAGTTGCTCGCAAATCCTTCAATTACGTAATGTTCTCATTTACGGCCAATTCTTCCTTAATTAACATGTGAAACTCAACAGAGTGTTGGAAGAACAAAACAAATATAGAGCGACGAGCGGACCAATCAAAAATATGTCGGTGTGCAAAACCTTATCAATAAATATTAAAAGTTGCGGAATGTAGGGTGAAAACAAAACGAATAGGCGGACAGACAAGCTTAGAGTAGGCAATTCTAAATCAATCAATAATAATAGGCGGGCCTATATATCAAGCCTTTCGTGTGTTCTAAACATACTCATACAAACTTAAAATACCTACAAGTAGTGTAGGGTATAAAAATAAAATAATCCGAATAATAAGAAGAATGTACCCCATTTTCCACCTCTTTCATGCAGCAATGATTTTTTTGGCTGAGTTTACTTTGGTCGTGGAGACAGTGAGTGCTTGGTGTATAAAGGCGGT